TAATATGCATTACAGTATAGCCGAAAACGTAGCCTCCGTGAAGATGTCCCTCGTTTATGCATAACTCATTATATCACTCTTTTAATAGCTCAGTGGACTTATATGGTAAAATTTAACAAATCTAGACCATTGTCAATGAAAATATGTCTGTCTTTTACGTTTGACCCCGTCGAAAGTTTGCTTGTCCCTCTAAGCTTCTAGCATTACTTGAAAGGCTTGCAAATCGGGAACACATACCAGATGGAATTGGAATTTGTTGTGTTGGTTATTGCGCGGAGGACGAAAAAGGTGAGAACCCAAAAGAAAAACATCGGGCCAAGGACGAAAACCAACAAAAATCTCAAACCATGCACCGGTATGACGCCGTGCGGGTTAACGATTAGGACCCGAGCACCGACAGGGTAGGAGGCCAGCGAGTGCTCTCTCCACTGCGTCACTCCTTGGTTCCCGACATACCTTGAACAAGCTTGCTGTTTAATTCAAAATATGTATTAACTAAGATCAGAGCGGGAGACTCTAGTTCAAATATAACACCGATGTTTCACTACGAGCACACGAGAGCTCATCATTACTCCTACCTCCAGTAAGATCTAGGTGGCATGTCTCAGCTGCATATGGTTTGAGGAAGCACGAGAATTGACATTAAATTTCTGACGTTTGGGGTTATATCTTAGTAGCACGTAATCTTCAAGTCCACATGTAAGAAAAAAGACAATCGACCGGTTACTGGATCTTTCTTATTTATCTTCATTCTCAGCAGCCTCTCGCATGCGGTGTTGGTTCATGTCAAAATGGCGGCATTTGCGTGGAGCAATGTGACGGAAACCGCAAATGTATCTGTAAAGAAAGGTACACCGGAGCACACTGTGAAAACATTCTCAGTACAGCAGAAACATTACGTAAGAAACACAGCAAAAACCTTTCATTTGTACTCATACTTTCAATGTACATCATATTTTATTGGTAATAATTAAATTAATTGGTGTACTGGAACAACCTTGCACAGGGGCTGGTGGGGCCAACAACACGATGGTTTGTAACTGGATTTAGGACAGTAGCATATTAACGAAACCAGTTAACTGGAAGCTCTAATCGCGCAGCATGGTCAATAAAACCTGCACTCCGCAACATACACCAGGTTAACATCGCTCGATCGTTGACTGTATTGACTCGGAGTCTTGTTAGTAGCAAGCGCTGTTTAAAACAATTTATATAACTGACAGACGTTTAATCTTTTTTACAGTCCTCCCTGTAACTGACGTGTCTTCTTGTAAGGAACTCTATGACAAACAGGAGTAAGTTCACAGTTAAATTCCGTTTTGGCAATTTAAACGGAGTCGTTCACCTCTCGATTCACTTCCCACCGTACTTCAGTTCACGACGCTAACGTGGCGTTTTGTTTAAAAGCACAGATATCCAGGCAGACCCCTATCTCTTCTTAATTTTGTAAACATTACTGTGTAGGAAGAGGGACATTTGTGCAAACGATTTCACCAAGAAACCAATAGCGCCGAGAAATCCATCGCGCAACTGAAATCAGTTACAGCAGTCTACATTTTTCTCGCATTTCAATCACTTTTGGCCCTTATTATTTAATTTTTCATTCAATGATACTATACTAGTAATTGCAAGGTATTTAAACTGTTTGGATTTCATCTCGTACAAACCATGCACTACGCGTTGCACGTTTCGTTTCAGCAGGAAACGAAACTAACCAACCAAGTTGCGAACATGTGGAAACTCGAGTGGAAATACAGTCAAGTGAGTGAGATGATCAGTTTATTTCACTAGACTGGGAAAATCCTCTGGGCGTACAGTAAAATTTTGGCCTGGCTCGTTGACTTTGGACAGTTAAGAGAGCTGTATCACGGTTTGCGCATCTTGAAAAGTTTAGCCTAAATTTTTCAAGTTCACCGTTTGTAATCCGTGTCAATCTTCTCTATCATTAACCATCCGTGTTCCCTTAATGGTTTATTGTTAACTCTTTGGTGTTTTTCTATCTTAGAAAACTATTAATTTCAGGTTTCCTTCAGTTTAAAGGTAATTTTGTACGTGGCCAAAATTAGCTCAAAATGCTGTGACTGAACTCCTTTAAGTAGCCTTATCCTCCACAATTCTCTCTTTTCTCCCCTATAACTGGTCCAGAGAGAGTCGAGTGTTTCGACTGATGTTTCGTGGGCAGACGATCCCTGTTTATTGTCACATGGAAAACTTTGGATGTGGAGATGGAGGATGGACACTAGCCATGAAGATTAACGGCAATAAGGTAAAAACCTCTACCCAGCGATGTCCCATGTAAACAATAAGCATTATGGACATTCATCGACATTTTAAGCTAATATTTTCTTTCTGCCACGTTTAATTTCAGACAACTTTCCACTACAATTCTCACTTTTGGAACGACAGGAAAGGTTATAATCTTACAGCAGGTCAGACTGGGTTTGATACACAGGAGACCAAGCTACCAACATACTGGAGCACACCCTTCTCCAAGATTTGTCTCGGTATGAAGATCGGCCAAGAAATGAACTTTATTGTCATCAACAGGTCGGCCAACTCTCTGCACTCACTAATCGCTGACGGGCAATACCGCAACACCTCACTGGGTCGTAACACGTGGAAGAAGTTGATTGGTTCACAGGCCTCCTTACAGCGCAACTGTAACAAGGAAGGGTTCAATGCTGTGGGAAATTCTATTTCCCAATCGAAAGCAAGAATCGGCATCACTAGCAATCAGGAAAATGACTGCGGCAACTGTGATTCCAGAATAGGGTTTGGTACAGGAGGACGCCATGATGACAGCAACACGTGTGGAAACGAGGCAACTCTCTCACCAGATAATGGAGACAAACACATCAAAACCATGGGTTATATTTTGGTGCAGTGACATGAACTAGTACTTTGTGAAAAAGCTTTTAACATGTCAATGGATTAGCATTGATACGTTTCTATTCGCGAGAATTAGTGTTTTGTAGAAGAAATAAAGTGTGGTGATGGGAAAACATTTCGCGGTGTTTTACGTCAACTATTCATTATTATCATTATTATTTTTGTTGCATACATCGGGGAATGGATAATGTTCACCTCTTTAGTGGTTACTTGGTTACTGAATGAAAATGTACATTAAAGGTAGAGTAGTTAACAGTTCTTAATACAAGTCAGTTATCTGCAAAAAAAAAAAGATCAAAGGAGAGAAACTTCATTTGAAAATAATTCAGTCTCAACTAGGATTTTTGGCCAAAACTGCATGAAATTTGCAAGTTGCCATAGCAACGTCCAAAACCGTGAAGGATGAATGAACATCTGCTACCGAAAGTTTCAGCATTTTAGAGTTAATCGTCTTTTCAAAACTTAACTTTATCGACATGCTTCCATACTTTTTTCCACTTCTCTTCATCAGATATCAGAAATTATTGTAATTGCATTTTATAAGCATTTTGGCTGGATTTTGTATTAACTTCCGTTATTGAAATCCACGATGGCGGATTAGGTGACGTTACTTGACGTCATATGACGTCAAACCTAACAAAATTGTTGTCACCTTGTAGAGCAGGCACGGGTTTATCTACTCAATGTAATTTTTTTCCTACTATGACTTACCAGAATTAAGACAAATTTCAACGTTTGTTCGCTTAAAGATGAATAGAAAGAGGCTGCTGTTCATCGGTCGAAAGACGTAAGTTCAGTTATTTCAACTCTACGCAACGGCAAAAGAAATGCAAATAAAAATAGAGCAAACTCATAATATTTAAGCATTTAAAAATAGTTCAGTTTCGACTCAGGGCGATTTTAACTACATGTACAGAATGTAATCCAAACTAAGCTTCAGAAAATTACAGCGAGGCTGAGAATTTTGGCCAAACCTGCATGAAATTTGCGGTTGCCATGGCAACGTCTTAGATAATTGAGAAATCGGACAGTCGTTCTGTCGGACGGTCGGACTGACTGACTGACTAACTGACTGATGGTCTGACGGACTGTCTGACATATGGTCTGAAAGGCTCTCTATCTGATTGATTGATAACTAATCCTCAATTAATTTTATCAGAATGTATCACTTTTATACTGAATTGTACTCTGTCCGCGACTCACCCAATCATAACAATGTGGTAAGGAATCTTATGACTCCCTTAGTTCCTTATTGAACACATATGGTGAATGTTCAGGGCTTAAATTTAATAAGGACAAAAAAAGAAGCCTACTTGTTAAGAAGTTCTTATCGAAATCATGAAGTTCTCGATAAAAACAAGGTAAACGAGCCAATTAAAATACTAGGTATCTTTTTCACTTATGATCAGCATAAAAGTAAAGAGCTCAACTTCAATTTAACTTTAAAGTCAATAAGAAAGTCTTTAAGTTGCTGGCAATGGAGAAACTTAACACTGATTGGTAAAATTCAATTAGTCAAAACATTCGCTATGCCTTAGTTTATGTATCGAGCCTCCCTTATTTCCTTTGGTAAGGATATGATTAAAAGCACAAATTCTGTGATATTCACTTTTGTGTGGAGAGGCAAAGACAAAATCAGGAGATTGGCCTTAACTAGTGAATATGAAGATGGTGGCCTCAAAATGCCTCATCCTGAATCTTTGATTAAAACTCAAAGAATTGCGAGTCTTAAAAGGTATTTAGATGATTATGTTAGCCCTTGGAAAGTTTTCTAGTCTAACTATCTTACGAACGAAGGAACTAGTTTTCTGCTTCAGTGCAATTTCAATCCATCGCGCCTACCCTGCAAATTACCAATTTTCTTATAAAGAATGTCTTGAAGCTTGGTCTGACTTCAATGGCCATCATGATATAATAGCTACAAAACAGGAAGTTTTAAATGAGATCATTTGGAACAACCAGAACTTCTTGATTAACAAGCAATCAATATACAATAAGAGAATAAAAGAAGCAGGTTTTGTGAAACTTAGGCATATCCTCTCAAACGACTCCAAGTTAAAAAGCTGGGATGCTTTTAGAGAGAAAAATCTCTCATTGTCAGATTACCTCCTCCTTCCTACAAGGCATTTTTTCCGCCATTCCGCCTAACTGGAAACTGCTCCTTAAAGATGGAGAGAATAATAACAACGAAATTTACAAAACTGTCTCAGACGGCGATGTTCAAGATACAACTAGAATGACTTCAAAATCAATCTATTCCACCCTGGTCAAACGAAACCAGATTCCTCCTACTGCCCAATCTAAGTTTAATTCCTAATATAATATTTCTGGTATTATAGACTGGAAAAATATTTATCAATTGCCGGGTCGAGTCACTCTTGACACCAGAACGAGAGCCTTTCAATACAAAATCCTAAATCGTATTCTCTACACTAAAAGAATTCTATGTAAAATGAATTTAGTTCCTTCTCCGATATGCACTTTTTGTGGAGATCACGAAGAAACTCTTGAGCATCTTCTAATCAGCTGTGCCTACACTAAAAACTTTTGGCTTTCTATTATTTCTTGGTTAAATACTTACAAAATGACAATTGATAAGCTTGATGAGATAACAGTCCTCTTTGGTATTTCCGATAGCAACCCAGGGAATTGTTTGTTAAGTCACAAAATCATTCTTGGGAAATGTGCGATTTATTTAACCCCTTGTAAAAATATCAAGCCGTCTTTATCCTTACTGAAGGTCAAAAGAACCTAAACTCGAAAACTAGAATTTTCAATTGCAAAAAAGAATAAAAAAGAATTTATTCATTACAAATAAATGGCAAAATATGTTATCGTAGTTTTTCTTTTCTCAATAGCTAAGTATCAGGTATATAGCTATATACACAGTTGAATATACAGATATATAAGTATCTGTACCAATTATTATATGGGTTTATATTATCAAACACACCCTTAATTAGATCTGTAGCTGACTGTGAATTACCCTGGGTACCAGAGGTTTTTTCTCGCGCGCGGCGGACGGAAATACTTCACTTCGCTTCGGCGGCCGAAGGCCGCGGGCACGAGCGGCGAAGCCGCGAGAAAAACCTCTGGCACAGAGCGGTTTCATTCACCGTTCTCGTTGAACTTTGATCAATTTGAAATCAGTGAGCATCTCACACTGTGATGACATGGACTGGCACGTGAAGACATGATACATTCGCGTGACATGACAGATATGGTCTGGTTTGAATTCATGGCTCCTGCGGGACTAAAAACTACGTCATACTCCCGTGAAAAACGTTCCTAATTCA